AAACCAAAAAAATGTTAATGCTATAGATGAATACAGGTAATGATCGAAGAACAAGTCGAGGTTTTGTGTTTTGAAAAAACAAATCGTTTTTTGTGAAGAAATTTCTGCTACAGGGTGGTTTAAAAAAATCGAAATTTTCATTAAGAGTCTCTTTCTTTCGATCATTATCTGACATATATAGTATGTCCAAGAAGGTCGTGTAAAAATTTCAAGTCGATTGGTATAGTCGTTTCTGAGATATTTTCCTCACCGTCTCTGTAAACAGAGTTTCGAGTAAAAGACGTTTGAAGTTTGGGAACGTAATTGCAGTAAGTAAAAAAGTTTTAACAGATACTTCCAATTCAAATATTCGAAGAATGTTTTCAAAACGAGTTCTTTATAAAACTGAGAATTGTTTTTAGGTAAGCTTGGCCTGGAATACAAAATGCATTTATGATCGGTTTGTCATTTTTACATTCAAGTATCTACAGTTTTAACCTTCCTTCAATAATGCAAAAATTGAGTACAAAGAATGTGTACATTTCTTAGAACTGACCATGATGAGCACTAAATCAATGCCAGTCAAATCAAATCTTTCGATAAAATAAAAGGAATAGTGGACCCTGACCAATGCTTTACTTGGCATAAGCAGCATTAAAATGCCATATTTTATGCGAATCAAAAAAGTCGCCTTTCACAAAGAGCCAAGTTCCAAGAGGCTTAAGCGCACTCCAGCACAAAGCAATTGCAAAAGAAGACACAAATAGGAAAAAGTAAAAGCACACAGCATAACAAACTAGGAACTAGTTGCTGCTAACAACGACTGACTTACCAACAGCGGCGGTCAGCAGAGCTGCCACAGTCAATAAAGTGCATGCCATATTTACTTATTCATGAAAGTATTAAGCATTCCCTTAGGTACCAAAGTATGTAAGCTTGTGTGCCTCTGTGATGGTGACCCAAACTTGCTATGACGGCAAAGGAAATGCCTCAACTACGACAATTTACGAACAAGTATATATGTATGTATGTGTGCATGTGTGTGTACATGTGTGTTTATGCATACAAATTGAGCTATCCACATATATGGTATGCGTCATTGTGCTTGCTTATGTGCGTCAGACGATTATAGTTGTCTTTGTAATCACCTACTTACTTACTTACACACCACTTACTCATTTATGAAAACTCACCAATGATTTGTGGTGAGTCAAGCCAGCGCCTTGAAGGCATTTTGTCACACCAGACGCAGCGCGTACAATTGATTCGGCTTAAGTGGCGAGTAAACAATGTGTGTGCGTGTGTGTATGTATGTTTGCATATAATGTATGCATGTATGTATTTGTAGTATGCAGATGGCTGCAAATCATTTACCTATATTTTGTGCATGTGTAAAATAGTCTCCAGTTACCGTTTATCGCTGTGGTTTCCGACGCTTCCCCACTTCAGCGTCAGGCAAGCGTCGAGAAGCGATGCGACAAGGGCGATTAAGTGACAGTAAGGCTGTACATATTGTGACATGTTGTTGTGGTTACTGTTATTTGTGGTGCTGGTGGTTGTTGTTATTATTATGCTTGTGTAACACGGTCAGAAAACTGATTGAATCATAATGTTGATGCTTAAATACAGCTGGTGGCATTGCGGTTAACAGTGCAGTAGCAGTGAATCTGAATATATTTATTACGTCACATATTAAAAAGTCACACATACGCAGTGGTCTCGCAAGAAATTTGTATGCATATTACTTTATTACGTTTTCCTGCGAACTAATAATTTTTTCACAAAATTATGAAAGTTGTTATATAGTTTCGAAGTTCACAAAAAGAATATTGAAAATTGTATTACATTTTTTTTTTTTAATTTTCGGTCTGGCAATTAGTGTACGGAGCATGTAAAATGAACTGCAGCTGCCATATTGGCTTACAGCAAATGCAAATTATAACAAAAATTTGCGAACAATGTAAGCAAAAACAAAAAAGCCTAAAACAATAACAACATCAACACTTGCCAAGAATTTATAAAGTTAATTACCGTAGCATTAAATTACTAAACGAACCGGAAAACAATTAAAAAATGACTCAATTTACGCCAGCGCCAATGCCAATGTATAGAGCATACTGTTGTTGTTGAAGTTGTTGCCGTGTTGATAGATATTGGCTGTTGCTGTTTGGACCACAACAAACCGACCATGTCCTCCGGTACTTTGCCGTGCAGTCGATGTTTTTTATGCCACACATTCTTTTTCATTACTCGCACCTACACACTCATGTACAAACATGTAGGTGCATATGTATGTGTATGTGTACAGATAACACGTAGAGTACAAGTATAGCAGCCATATGCGTGATGCCAGTTTGCATATGAGTTGTTGTGGCAAATTGCATTCCTGTTGTTGTAGTTAAGTATTTTTGGATTTCACATACATTTTAAGAGCTGCTTGTGTGTATGTGGGTGTGTGCGAGCGTGTGAAATTTTATTGCTGCTCAATATTTTGCATAAACATCAAAATGCAATTATGTTTATTCATTTACCGGAAATTTGTGTGGGACAGCACGCTTACGTAGGTTTGCAATTGTTAATGAGTAGCTCAAATGAAAAAATAACAGCATTAATTGACTAAAAAAGTAGGATGATATGGCAAAAGTATCTTGAAAACAAGAAAAAACGTTAATTTCGATTACAACGAAGACAGAATACCTTTCACAATTAAAAATAATTTGATTTTGATTGGTCATTTTGTATGGCAGCTATATGCTATAGTAGTCGGATCTAAGCAATTTCTTCAGAGTTTGTATCTTTGTCTTGAACAATAATCTGTGCAAAAATTCCTGAAGATATCTTATCAAGTAAAAAAAGATTTTTTTACAAGAACTTGGTTTTGTTAGTTCAGTTTGTATTAACAATATATGATATAATATCGGATATCGTTAATTCCGACAAATAAGCAGTTTATTGAGGATAACAGATCGTGGTAAAAAAAATTAAATCGATGTGTCAAAAACTGAGAGATTAGTTTGCGTGTATACAGACAGGCGGACAGACATGACTCAATCGTCTGAGCTCGTCATGGCGATGATCATTTATACATATATATTTTTTATCTGGTCTACGACGTTTGCTCTTGGAAGTGAGTATGCATGTGAGTATGAGTCAATACGACTATGAGTGATGTTGAAAACGAAAATTAAAGCATATTGATATGTATATAAGTATGAGTATAAATACGAATATAACTAAGAATTTAAATATAGTATGAGTGTATAAGTATTATCATGAGTATATGATTGTGGATACGAGTATGAGTATGAATAAGGTTATGAATGCGATTTTGAATATGAATATGGTTTTGAATACTGAATTGAGTAGAAATTTAAGTATGAGTGTGAAAGTAAGTATTAGTATGAGTAAGAATATGGATATAAGTATGAGTATAGCTATGAATATCAATATATTTCCAATATGAAGAAGAATATAAATATGATTGTAGATACGAATTTAAGTACAAATATGGTGACGGATGCAAAATAGAATGAATGGGAATGGGTATGAATTTGATGTATATGATTCTGATTTTGAATGTAAATATGAATAAGATTTAATATACTGAACTTAATTGAAATATGAGTATTATAAGTATAAGTATAAGTATAAGTATAAGTATAAGTATAAGTATAAGTTTAAGTTAAAATAATTATGAAATGAAAAATAACATTAATATAACAGTAACACTGATAATTCTAATGAGATTATAAAGCTCTAATAAGCAATGTTAATATACATATATTATATTTGTATGCTATAATCCGACCTAATATGAATCTCACTATTACCGCCAACCAAACGTATGTATGTATGTATATACATGCAAAAAGTAACGATGAAAATGGAGCAAATAATGTGGTCAGAGCACATTAAATTTTCTCAACCTTTCCTGATCGTTTTTGCCGCTTCAACGTGCTACACATTATTGCGACGCTGTCTAGGTACTTGCAACAACACGTTTTCGTTGCGGTTTAACGGTATATTAATAGTACAACATACGAAATGTGAAAAACTTGTTTACCGTTTTTTGGTTGCCATTCCGCTTTTCCTTCATTTCAGCGCTCACCATTTATTACGCTTTTCTCTTGGAGAGCAGATAAGCTCCCGCTGGACATGGGGATATGGGGCTGTCAGGTTGCTGATTTTGCAATTGCCATGCGACTCGGCGGTGGGGGAATGGTGTTGGTATTGTTGTACGTACACACAGGCATGCAAGTGTGTGCGTGTAAAATTTAAAATTCCGCAACATTGACACAACAAACAATGCGTAAAGATAAAACGAAAAGCAGAAAAGCGACAAAATCGGCGAAATGGAAAGCGCGCGGCATGTGTGCCAACGTAAAGTAACTGTGGCAATACAGTGACAGCGTAGCATAAAAGTACAAACAACAATGCCGAAGTGCTCGGTTCAGCTGCTGTAGTAGCGGTATGTGACGTCTGATGGCTGACGTGCCACATGCCGCATGAGATGGAACGAAATGATAATTTCCGCAGCATTAAGCGCAGCAGACGATATTCGCGTTGTTGTTGTTGCCGGTTTTTGTTTTATTAATATTTATTTTTGTGGCGTTTCCCCGCTTTTTAACTTTTTTGTCACTTTTTTCACTCAGCAAGTTGCTATTATTGCCGATGTTTGGTGTTTGTTTTTGCTTTTGTTTTGTATGGCAATAGCTACTGCTGAGTTTATTGTAACATTTTATCCATTTTTGTGCAAGTGCATGCACTTTGGTGTTTTGTGGGTTAAAAGTTCACATCGAACAATGCATGGCGTCAACGTGATTCTGAATGCTTGATGTTTGTGTGCCTGTGTGTGTCAGTGTGGTGTGTTCAAATATTTGCCTGCACTTGTAGGGAAAATGTCTCAGCTTTACCGAAAAGCATTGCAGGTTTACTTTACAACAAAAATATCAAGATGATATCATAACGAATTGTTGCTTGATTTTTTTTTTTGTACTGTTATATAATTAGTCACTTTATTATTGATAAATGCGTTTTTGTTTATTATCTTCGAGTTTTTTTGTGATTTTATTTAATAAATAATTTTAAAAATATACATATTTAAAGAGTTTAATGTACTATAATTATGGGCGATTAATTTTTAATAATTTTGGACTCGTTTGATCTCGTAACCGCTCATGAGGAGTTGATCCGAAAAAGTTGTCTCGCGAATTTTCTGCTTAAAACTATCTGAAAACCAAATATAATAAATTGCTTATTATTATAGATGAATACATGTACAAGTAATGTTTGAAAAAAGTAGTTAAAATTTAGATTTTTAACTAAATGGCGGCGTTCCAAAAAAGTAGTTTTTAGAAAAATATGTACACTTGAGGGTGACTTTAAAATTGATATTATTAGAGTTTCAAGAAAAACGCGTTTAAAGTTTTATAGCCCGATTAAATTACATAATTTAACAAATTCTAACGCATGCGGTCATATCTCTGAACTCTGACTATTTGCCGGATCAAATTCTAATTTTCAGAGAATATTCTCAAATCATTCCCATGTCAAAAAATCGAGTTTTCGAAATTCTCAAGTGGATATAACACCGTAAATTAACTTTTTTACATAATAATTAAAGAGACACATTTGTGGCCCATATATTTTCCATTCTTAATATCGGTTATCGAATTTAATGGAAATAGCCAAAAATCTTCGCCAGTTCCCACATGGTGTTTTAAAAAGCGCCAAGTACACGAAACTCTGCTGAAAATTAATAGAAACATTGCCAACCAAATTAAATATACAAATTCACAAACAGAAACACCTCAATTAAAAATAGTTTAAAGTTTTTAGCTATCAACAGTGTAGGTTTTTTCTATAAACTAACAAAAAATATGCAAACATGGTAACTGTATTTACTTCTCGTATGTTTACTTGCGCCGACCGCATTGTTTACGGCATGTTCCTGGTCACGTTTACGCAATTTTCGTTCAGCAAACAATTAACACTTGTCACAAAGTGAGCTGAAAAAGAACGAGCCATTGCCAACAGCGTGAACTTATCACGCACACATACACACACACACACGCATGCAAAACTGGAATTGTGCTGAATCATGCACACACACACACATACATAAACAAACATGCCTTATGCTCCGCTTTTGCCGTTACTCGTCCTTTGTCAGCAAGTTGTCAACGCCACCAAAACAAGCGTTAGTCCAGGCTTAGAACAATAGTTGCATGCCACGCTCACTGCTGGTCCGCAACTTGCCCAGTAGCCAAACGCGCTGCGTTGCCGGCTGTTGCTGTTGTTGTTTCTCTAGTTTTGTGTGTATTTACCGAGCACGTGTCAGTGTCAGTTGGTGAACCGACAACCGAGTAAATAAGTTAGCCGTTGTTAGTAAACAAATGTAGCGTTTATCACTCGCATAGCCTGAATTCATAAATATACAGAGCGGTTCACAGTTTTAGTTATTAATTTCAATTTAGTTGTTTAATTTAACGTTTTTTTTTTAATTTTCATTTCCGTCTAGAATAGTAGCGATTGATTTATAATACATCAGATCCCCTGGAAACCACTGTTGTATCTAGAAATTAATTTCCTCAACATCATCGATGACTGAGCCTGTTATGATTCAAGTAATTAATTTTTATTTACAGGAAATTAATATATTTTTGTCATGAACAGCACTGCAGAAATTGTCTGTCAACTTAATGCATTGCGTGTTTGGCTGCAGTTCTATTATATGATTTTCAATTTCTAGCAATTGTTCGGAATATATTTTATGCTGATTATTCAATTTGCAGTTGCATGTGCATATTTATGGTCAATCAAATCGTCTCAATTCTTCACCATAACAACGATTATTTATTGTTATTGTTGTTTCGGTAGTATCATTGACTTAAGAAAAAGGAATCGACCGATCGGTACTCCACATGGTGCGTCCAAGAAAAAAACCACAAAAATTACTTGCAGTAGTTATATGTTGTTATTTTATTTTTTTTAAGTAATAAAATATTAAAATGACTATTAAATGAATTTTGAGCACATGAGATAAGATTTGAAATATAATTTTTCTATTTTTGAATAGTTTTGAATTTGAAAAGAGAAAAAGTATCGTACTTGCATGTTCTTTGACTCGTAACTACTTCCCCACCAATTTTCAATCACCGGTTCAGCCTTTCTGGAGTTATAAATTCTCCCTTCTTCTTAAACTGCTATTAACATCAACGCCAACCCTGCACCAAGTTCTTAATTATTAAATATAAAAACGCTACGTAAGCTCCCTTGATCAAAAATGTCATTGCTATCAGTCGGTTTACACAAAATTTTATAGCCCATTTCACTCATGTGTTGAGGATATTTTAAAAATTGCATACGTTTTTTAAGTTCATGTTTAATTCTCAAAACTAGAGAGAATTAACTTGTTTTTGTTCATGCTGAAATAAGGTTTTACTACTACAGCAACATCTGCTCGTATATTAAGGATTCTGCGCAGGTAGGAAAGCACGACCTATGTAATATATACAGAAGGTAGGTAGATAGATAATATTCTGTTAAATACGTTTACATTTTTAGTCTCTAATTTTAATAAACAATTCTGAGAATAGTCTTTTAAATACTTTGCTTTACTTTGTTGCAATTTGTTCTTGACTTGACACAGTATTCGCTGCGCTTATATAGCTTATCCTTGAAATTAATGGAGATGTGTTCGTTCGATATGGCTTATGGTTGCATTTGTATTCAAAGTGAAGATATCGTAAATAAAATACACTCGGACTATATACCAGATATGGAACAACACAAATTATTGTTTTATTTTTATTCACAATAATACTTTTTCCCCAAATGCTTAAAAAGCTGAAATACAAGTAAATACACAAAAAAAGATTAAAATAAATTCAAAGTAGGCAAAATCTCAAAAAACTCAGTTCTGCTGATCTCAGAAAATCAGTCATCATATTACTTAAAAATAAGTGGCATTCTATGCAACGTAATGGCTATTCCTCACTTCGAGCGGACTACCTGTGGCACGAACATAAAATGCCAGCAATTTTCGTATCTTACTTAAAGCGTATTCAATCTCCGGCAGAAGCGAAATATACTCAATACTTGTAGAAGACGGAGCATAATGGCTCGTTTAAGAACGGAGTCTGAGATACAAAAACTTCTCGAAGAGTTTGAGAAGTTACATGAAATTGCAGATCCTGTGGAAATGGGTGGAAAATGTTATAGGTTTTTAAAAGAGTTGAGGTACTCCAGAAATGAACATCCGCAGATAAAGTTAGTCTTGGAGGATATGAAAATTGCAGTAACCAGACTTTTGCAACTATTTCCATTCGAAGAGCACAGCGATGCTGAGGGAGAGGAAGATGGAATTGTCATAGATCGATAATAAAATATTTGACAACTGCTTTTAGAAATAATGATTTTGGATTTATCATACAAATATAAATAATGAATAACGCAAAAATTTGGGTTTTTTTATATTTATAAAGTGTTTTTCAGATAAGGCAAAATCTTAAAACCTATCTTATGATGACTTCGATACTTAGTTCAAAAACCAGCAAAATTTTATCTGAATTCTGTTTTTTTACAGTTAAAATGATGAGAAAGAGTTAAGTGTGCGTCGGAGTAAAAACTTTAAATTGATAACACTGCCCATTTTAGGTTTAATCTCGTATCTCTGCAATTGCTCACCCAATTTTAACCGACTTGAATCCATGAATTATATACTCAGAACTCCAAATTCGGCCAGATTCGTTCACGTTTTACATGCCTGTAATTATTTTCGTACTTTTTTCAATATTTCAACGTTTATTTATAAAAAAAAAAAAACACCTTATTATTTAAAGCTCTAACATATCCCACCTTCCTGACAATTTTTGGATTCCAGAACTGCGCCGGCTTGCCGGTCTAGAATGAATAAATCCAATGACACTCTCTTTTGATATGAACCATATTCTAGTGAGGGAATTCTGCCCGGACCTGAACAAATGGTAGTCAGAAGGAGCAAGGTGTGGACTATAAGACGGGTCAGCCCAAACTTCCCAACTGTTCATTGAATAACTGATGTTGAATTATTGTGCAACATTTTTGTCAACACTTAAAAATCAAGCTCCACCTCTTAGCACTATAAAAGCCATACTTAGACGGTCCTTACTTGTTTTTCTATTACTAATGAAATGGGAAGTGAATCGCCTGGCTGTTTAAGCAGTTACCAAGAGGTATCTTATAACGTTTTCTGTTCTCGATGTAAATGTTATATAAATGTTATATTTTTGGATGACAAAAGAACAAAAAATGACAACCAAATCATTTGCAGTATTTATTATTGAACTTAACAAAACTCTGATCCATTCATTAAAATTAGTAAACAAAAAACTTTATTTAAAGAAAATAACTATTAAAAGCGAAAAATATCATCGCCTGGGCAACTCTTCCCCTTACGTTTTGAGACGAGCCGAAAATTTTGTATTTTTTTCAGGTCAAAAGGACACGCAGCTTTGACAACCCAGGCAAAATGCAAAAAGATTTTTGAGAAAAGAAAACGCTATATTCTGGGAACAACAAATACCTTTTCGGATTTCGGACATAGTTTCTAACCTCATTTCTATATCTGATCCAATTGAAATTTAAATTAAACATCGTTCAAGTTTTTAAAGAGAGAGAGAGTTTTAAGAGCTTCACGTCAAACTATCTCTCTCATTAGAAGAGAGATGAAGTTAAAGTCGGCAGAAAAATTTGTTTCAAATCTAAGCCGTTTAAATTCAGCAAAGACTGTTTCACTGACAAAATGTGATGACCACCATTATTACTCATTTCTAAATAAAAAATAGGTTTACAACAAACGATGAATGTATAAAGTAATTTAAGCCATTACATAATTATTTTCGTTAAACATATTTTATTTGCATTTTTCTCTGTTTTTGAATAATCCGTGAAATATACTCTTTTAACTTTTATAATTATCATATTGAATTGCTGAAATTAACAATTTGTGCTTTTAAAATTTAATATTATATGTTTACCCATGCATATAGGATCCACAGCCTTTGCAACGCCGACTTCGAACGAATTCCCTAATTATTAAAAATAAAAACGTTTCGCGAGCTCCCTCGTCCAAAAATGTCATTTCAATCAATCTGTTTACACACAATTTTATATCGGCTAGGATAGGATGCTTCACTTGACAGGAATTGAGTTTTACTAGGAAATCATAACCCATTTCTCTCATTTGTACAGGATCTTCTATGGACCGCAAAATGTTGAAATCCTTGTAAATTTCATACATAGTTGGCGATGAGTTGCCTAAGTCCATGACTATGAATTTACTAATTTTCGTTTCGAAACTGGGAAGAGTTGTTCCGTTTCTATTAACGTTGAAATAAGTTTTGATTACAATATCAAAATTTTGCTCAAACTTTAAGGATTCTGCGCAGGTAGAAAAGCAGGACGGTGACTACGCTCGGGTGATAAGTTTTAAATGGCGAAAACAGGTAGAAAAACAATTTTATACAGAATACTCATTTTGAATTTTTAGCCTGGATACTGATTACTCAATACTGAGAAAAGCCTGGAAGATTTGAAATTCTGTGTTTTAATTTTGTTGCCATTTGACCTTGAATTTCACTGTATTCGGTGCGCTTATACCTATAACTTATAATAAATATGATTAATTTTTGAGCTTGTTTTTAAAATGAAAATATATATGGTGATGGAAAATACAGAGCTGATTACAAATTATTGCTTAGCTTCTATACGTTAAAATACTTTCTCTATTAACTACTGTAAAAGATAAAACTGGAATAAACTTAGATATATAAAAAATTAAAATAAGGATCTACCGACGTTCGCAAATCATACTTATCATAATATCTAGAAATTAATGGCCACGTCCGCATGGTAATAGTTATTCTTCTCTTCAGCTAGATCGCTCTTACGAAAACGAAGTGCTTAGAAAGTAGGTACCCCAACTACACCTGCTACAGTCTAGCTGATACCTCACATATGTCTCCCTATAATCGACGATGAAGTGATATACCATATCTTCAGTGCTTTTGTATGATCGATATTAGGGCAATACTAAAAAAAATTGTTGAATTACAACATTAAGTAGATAGAGAGATTGGGAGTTTCTTTAAACTACTCACTGTTACATTCTTTAAAGTAAGTATATAAATTTAAACAAAAAACAAGAAAAAATGTTAACTGCAGCTGCACCGCAGCTATAATACCTTTCACTTTTGGTGGGGTTTAAAAAAAAAAACCTTTTATGTGAACTAGCCCCTCAGTTATTGAGATATCGATCTGAAATTTCGCTGATAAAACCTTATCCAAGGCAAAGGTACAATTTCCAAAGAAATTGTTTAGATCGGACCACTATAGCATATAGCTGCCATACAAATTGAACGATCAAAATCAAGTTCATATACGGAATCATTTGTGTCTGTGAAAATAGCATCGGTGTAACCGAAGTTAACGATTTCTCTTGTTTTAAAAATTTTTTTGTATCAAAAACAACAATGCTTGAGTACAAAATATTTAAAATTGTCAGTGCTTAACAGCGCATCAAACTTCACTAACTTCCATTCATTGCATATTATGTAAGCTGTTTAATATCGCTGCCAAGTCGTTTATCGCCTACTATCCGAAATATGCGCTTAAATGCCAAACAACAAATGCAATGTTCAAACTCTATCAACTGAAACAAGTGCTTCCCCGCAAATGCTTCGTGCTGCTGCTACTGATATTTTCCGAGGGCCAGCTAGCGTAAACAACATCAAAAAGCACACAAATAAGCGCGCAACACAGAAAAGTTATGTATGCATACGAGAAGAAGAAGGTAGAAAGTTGCAAATAAAAATACATTAGAGGCAGCAAAAACAGAGCGGCAAAGTGAAATGGAATGAAAACAAAGCGTCAGCGTCAGGAAATAACACCTAAATTGAATCAGCTACTAGGGTTGGCAGCATGCCCGCTTGTCGGCCTGCCAACTTGCTTGCCTAGTTGACTGCTGAGGCTGCCTACCTGTCAGGCAGCCGTCAATAATGTGTTTCAATGTTGCAACAAGAAGTTGCCAACAACCACTTATTCACATACAATGCATACTTTTAACTGCAAATGCAAAGGTAGTCACACATACACACCTGCATATATATGTACACATGTACAGAACTATAGATATGCACTGGCATTACTTGCGGTGCACGCTGCGTATGAGTAACTTTGCATTGCCATTGCTGGGATATGTGCCGCGCGTCAAGGTAATGGCATACAAACACAAGCATTTATGGCTCACACGCACACACATATGTGCATATTTACATTCACACCATGAATGGCGTTAGTATGTGTGTATATGCACTTGTTTGTGCCATCCACCGACAACGATATCCTTGGGAAATGCACTTTTCAAGGATATTAGCGTCATGAAGTGCAAAATGAAAAAGAAAAACACAAACTTAGTACAGCGCATAGTTAGATTTTATATTATTTGTGTGTGTGTTTTTTACATATTTTCATTTTGGTGTTTTTATTATTGCTGCAAACAGACGCTCGTACGGAAATAGTAGTAGAAAATCGTAATGGGTAGTAAAAATAGAAATTTTGTAGAATCACCAATACATACATACTTACGCAAGCATGCAAACTCTATTACACACACTGTTGGAAGCCATAAAAGATGCACATATATGTATGAATATATAAATAGATGTGTGTATTTATGGATGTATTTGCGCGCAACCCATATTCTAAAAATAGAAATTGCGGCGACTGTTGGCGGCGTCGTTGCGACGGAAATATCGATTGGCAACATGCGGCATGTCTAGGAAAAATTTGCAAAAAATTAAATTCGAAAATTGTGGAAAATTTAATATTATATTTTCCAATTGCTGTTTATATGAATATGAATATGCACTGCATTTACTAGAACAATATTATGAATTTTATATGTACATATGTATATTTTTTCAATTTTAAAAGTTTTCTGGATGAGAAAAGTAAATTATAGATATTACAAGAATGATGGCGTAAAATAAATGATAATAAAGCAATTATTTTAAAAGTAAAAATGATTTTAAGCAGAAAAATATTACATGATGAGATGTGATTAAATTTGTGGAAGTGATATATAATTTGGTTGGTTGTGATCTTGACATTCAGGTCTGAAAATAAGCTTTATCTGCAGTTAATTTAGTTTCATCAGATATAAAAATTTTATGAATTCAAGTGATACTTCAAGTAGAAGCCAAATTATAAATGGCGTAATAAAATGATCATGTTAAATTTATGGACGTTGAGTTGGTGTGATGAAATGATGTTATGTGCGGAAATGTTGTTGATGTTGTTGTAGCGGCCGAACTGACAGTCCTTGGCCGGATAAAAATCCGGGTCCTTTCCGGTTATGTAGACCCGACTGTCATGGGAACGAGTGCGGAAATGTCTTATTACGTGATTTCATGTAATATCATATAATGCTATGTAAGGAAAAGAGATTAAATGCCATAAGCTGAAATGTGATATGACGTGCTGAAATGAGATATTATATTGCATAATTATATGTGATGAAATGAGATTAAAAGCCGTAAAGCGTTATGAAAGACTGATGTAATTAATAATCATATGATGAGTATAGATGTGATTAAAGATGTGATGAAAAGAGATTAAATATGTGATGTGAATAAAATTCATAAAATGGTATAATGTTTTATGATGTGCTGTGATAAAACGAGATTAATTGTTTGATGTGATTGAAGATCAGATGATGACAAAATGTCATATGATATGATGTGATGTAATGCAGCATTACTCTAATTAGATGGTGTGCCGAATGTCGTGATGGGACTAAAAGATATGTGATGGAGCGATGTTGTGAAACGCGATAGGGTATGACTTGATGACATATCCTGCCAAGTAATTGAATACAATTACATATAATACGAAATGTTGGAAGATCATATGATATAATGGAATGAAGTGTCATAAGATAAAATGCGATGAAATATCATGTACAGTGATGAGATGATACATCAAACAACTGGATAAGCTGTAATTGGAATTTGGGAGATTGTCATAAAAAATGTTGTGCTAAAATAAAGAAAATGGAATGTCATATGATGAAAAAATTTGTAAAAATTTAAGTTATACTACATGATGAGTTGTGATTTATTGTTGTATATTGTAATTTATATACATTGATCAGAAAGATATTCTTCTGAAGAGATTTGAAAAAAAGTAAGGAAATATTATTGCTTAAAAAATCTGTAAAAGCCTGAAATCATACAAAAAGTTTACGCTTAAAATTATCAACAACAGCAAAATCAAAAATGTAAAAAATAATAATTTCCTACATGGCACTATTCGGTTACCCCGATACGCTTGCTGCACCACAAGTTGAATGAATAGCAATAACGGAGCACAAGGACATTGGGGACGAGAGCATTAAGGCGGCAGCAGACAAAAGTGCTCGTACTTCTTATGGGGATTAGGAAGGTTTGCTGTTTGGCTGATGCTTTAAATTTAAAGTGGAAAAAGTCAGAGAAAATAAACGGAGAATGGTAAAAGTGCATAGAGAGATGAAGAGAGAGAGAGCGAAAGCGAGTGAGCGAAAGTGTAGCACAGAGGCTGTGAGGTCGGATGATGCCATTGCAATGGCATTGCAAAAATCAGTACACAACGAGAGAGACGCAGGCAGTGCGGCGAGAGAGTAACAGCGCAGAGAAAACGTGAGGTCGTCGTCAGGATGAAGGCAACGCTGAAAATAGCTCAGAAATTATTGTTGATGCTATTTTTAGAATTTTCACTGCAAGCACACACACACACACACACACACACATATGCTTGTACATACGCATACACAATTGGTGGCGCATTTTCAGCGAATAACAACAGCAGTCATGATATCAACAGCAACAACAACACACAACTATAACAAATAATGCTCTACTAAGCAACGGAAGAACAAGTAGGAGCATAATAAATGAAACGCTTCTACATGCTGAGCAATGAAAACGGATAATCGCATTGGTAACGAACGCATCGAAGGTTATAGGCACCAACAATAACTGCAAGAAGAGAAGGTTGGCGTGTAGCAACATTGGGTGTTGCAAGTGTTAAACTAGTCAAAGTGCAATTGGGTTTTAGCAGCGCATAATCCAATACGGTCACGCACATATACATACATACTTACGTATATAAATGATGTGAACACCACTTTCGAGGTGTTCGAAAGGCGAAAAGGCAGTGGAGTGGATTGCAAAGAAAATGAAATAAAAGACTCAAATTCGCGTAAGAAATTTAATTGTAACGTGATATTGTTGAGTGCCCCGGTGTGTGTGCGTGTTGCATGCGTTAAGTTTACTGTTGTTCAGGGTTAACAATGACTATAACGAAACTCGTTGAACTTTTGCAACTTGTAACGGATACAAAAGTGCACCGCCAACATCGATAGCGTGCACCTTGTCAACTTGGTTAGGGAAAATGGAAACGATTTCTTTTACGTCGCAGCACTTGTACTTTTCCCTTTCATCGAACTGGCTGACTTTGACGGCCTGGTAGGGCACGTGACATGCCTGTGTGTGATTGTGTGTGCGTAAGTTGCGAGTTGCGGCAACTTATGCATTTATGCCGTGCTCACCTTTGTGCATTCACTGGAGAAGTGCGTACATTAAAAGCGCATAAATTGCAATGGAAATGCAAGTAAAACCAGATGCTGACGCTATTTCTCTTTAGGCTGACTTTTGCTGGCCTCTTTGCAATAAAAGTTGTTTGTGTGCAACAATGTTGCAGTTTACTGCAAAAGAAAACAATGTTGTTGAGTTTACCAGTAGTAGGCAGAGAATAGAATTTCTTACATATGTACAAATTTATGAAAGCGTGAAAAGGTTGAAAAATGTTGATCGAATTCCAATTTGAAAAGAGCTTTAATTTTTCGCAGTGCCCCTTCTAAGATGTATATCTTTCGGAGCATAATTTTGTAACATAAATCATAGCATAACAGAGACAGAAGTTATCATTTTTGGTAACCGATCAAACTTATAATATAGTTGAAATATCTACTTGATTTCAATAAAATAACAGTTATAGTTTGCGAACCGTTTGAGTTTTTCGTTTTTTTTTTTCAAATCAAGCAGATAGAACCAAGATATTCAGCTTAAGAATGGTGGCGGAAAGAATAGATCATGTGTTATTAATTTTGCTACAAAATCACATTTTGAAGAGCAAAAACCTCGCTTCATTTTATTTTCATAACTGGATACTCACTTGCATATATCGAGCATTATAAAATTACTGACAGTTTCAAAATCATTTTCTAGGTAGAGAGAAGATCGCACCGATTTCATCTGCTAAACTACCAACTCGCTTCATATTTAGTTATATATTCGCATAAAATTTTTATCGAAAATATTTCACATACATATTAATGCACCACTTGTTCAAAGTTGACCCGGACTGACTGAAAAAAGTGCGTTATAAAATCATCAGAAGGTTGAAAATCATTTTATGGGGTATAAGTTATCTAGCAGAAAGAATTACCGATGCATTCGAAACAAATTTTTTTGTTAAATCTTACATACATATAGATATATCTTACTACAATCTTAATGACATAAATGAAAATATGGACCGATTTCAATTACTTTTAATGTCGAATCACCGAAAACACTAGTAAAATAATTACTTAATTTCGTGAATACAGCTCATATGTGGGCTATTATATACTTTTATATACGCTACACCAACTAGAATAAATAAAATTATTAAATTGGACTTACGAAGTCTAGGCGAACATATTG